AACATTGAGTGCCTGACTTTTGTAAATTATTGTATTGGGCAGTGTGAGGATATAAAAGTAAATGAGATTTGACACTAATCAAGGAACTTACAATATAATGGTTAACACAACTATTGCTTATACAAGATAGAATATGAGTCATGCTTCGGTAATTTTTTCTCAGTCTTTTAAAGAAATACACATACACTAGGTTGTGTACATATAATACTTTTAAAATATATTTACACACTGTCTCTTCAAATATGCACACTAGCTTTTATATACATTATATATAGAGAGTTTTCACACAAGGATTCACTTTTTGTGACAAATATCACCCATATTTCACATCTAAATTTTATATTTATAATTACTTATGAAGGAGATACACTTATAAGACTGATTTAGCATTTAGTTTATGTATTAAGAGTATTCCTGAGAATAAAGGCGATATGATGATACCAACTTAGGGGCTATTTAAAAAAGGAAATTTGGAAGTTATAGCTCTTTAACAAAGAATTTTGGGGAAAAATATTTTAGTTACTGAAAAATCAATTTTTTGGTATTTTTAAAGCTATTGTTGATTTTGTTTACACTCTTTTAATGTTTTAGCTAATGTCAAAGCTACAGTCATTATTATGTGAAATGATAGTGTGAAATTGATGCTGTTATAGTATAACAATAAGGACGTGACTCATGTATTTTATGTACACATGCATTCAACTGTAGTGACAAACGGCTTCATGCTGTGTGATTAAATGCATATTAGCGTTTGCCCTAGGCATTTGATTATTACCATCTTTACTTCATTACATTACCACACTGTATGGTCATATAATTTATAAGATAATACACACATCACTTTGTTGCTGATAGGAATTATTCTGTTTTATGGATGGTGTCCTTTAATTTTGCCTTTCATGGATTATAAAATTGGTTAATATCTGCTGAAGTGAATCACTGGAGAAGCAAATAAAGATGCTGGCCTCAGGTCACAGTGTCATTTGTGATACTGGCAAAATCTTACAGGCTCATTTATCCCTGTACATGATTGATAACAGCATGGGTTAAATGGAGAAAGCTTTGCTTCTATTAAAGGATCATCATGAATGAAGACCTCCCACTTAATAGTCAGGCATGATGAGAAGACAAGAGACTGTCTACAGGTCAAATTAAATAACTTAAATAATTTAAGTAGAATGACAGTGTAATTTGTCCATTTTGTGTTATTACTCTGACCCCTATCAGGATTATAGACTAACTTACTTTCCACTATAGAGTATTTAAGATGTAATTTTTAAATAAATACTTTCAAAGATTTAAAAGCCTCTATGGCTTTTAATTGTGGTAAAATACAGATTTTTATTACGTGCTTAAAATAAAACTTTTTAAAAGAAAAATAGCAATACTGTAAAATATAGAGTCAGTAATATGGTGAATGCTGAGGTAATGTTTTAATCATTTTGTAATATATTTATAATGCTTTAAGCATTTTGTAATAAATATATTTTTCAAATGCATATTTTATAATGAAATATTATAAACAAGTGATTATAAATAGAATATATTATAACTATAATATTTGTTATAAATAATTGCATTATAAACAATAAATTTAGTATTATAAATTACTATAAAATAATTGAACTATTTACAAGAAGTTTTTTTTAGTAACACTTAGAAGCCAAGTGTTAAAAATAAAGATACTCAGGATTTTTTTTTAAATAAAGAAAGCTTTTTCATATACTTACAAATTTTTTATTAATTGATTTTTTAAAGAGAGAGAGAGAGAAACATCACATTGTTGTTCCACTTATTTATGCATTCATTGGTTACTTTTGTGTGCCATGACTGGGATCTAACCCCCAACCTTGGTGTATTGGGATGATGCTCTAACCAACTGAGCTACCCAGCCAGGGTAGTCATTATTTTGTAATGACTACTTTCCTATATGGAATCATTGTTCAACTATTCAAGTTGTGATTCAAAATATGGGAAGGCATATGCATTTTTGGAGATACTTATAATAATAGCATTGAAATATGAGAGTATTTTAATTTGTTCAGAGTAAAGTAAGTATGAAGCTTCAAATTAAATATTACATGTCTCTTTTAAATGATCAAAAAGGCACATTTTGTACATGTAATTATCCTCATTTTCTTTTTATTTTGTTAATCTTCACTGGAGGATATTTTTTTTTCTATTGAATTTTTTGTTGTTGTTGTTAGAGAGTGGAATGGGGGGAAGGGGAGAGAAAGAGAGGAAAGAGAAACATTGATGTGAGAGAAACACATCTATCGTGTTGCCTCTTGCACCTACCCTGACTGGGACCCGGAATCGAACCTGCAACCTATGACCAGAATCGAACCCATAACTCTTTGATGCGCTGGCTGACACACTAACCACTGAGCCACGCCGACCAGGACTCATCCTCATTATTCACTGGCTATTGAACCTCTGTGATAAACCAGGACTTAAATACATTACCTCATTTAATTCTCACACACTGTGAAATAAGTGTTATTGTCCCTGTTATGCAGATGAGGAAACTGAACTCTAGGGGAGTCATACAGCCAGTAAGAGGAGATAGAATTTGAATCCACACGTTTTGGATTCTGTTATAGGAATCTACAAACATGCATATGTCTTTTTCAGAAGCGCATAAAACTGTATTTACCACAAAACTGGTTCATTTCTGACTTTATCAAGCTTGCTTGTAATAGCGTTGTAAAAACTTTATTGCACTGTGACCCATAGTAAGAAGTACATTTCACATTGTGATCCAGTATACATACATGTATTTACATTTACATATAATTAAAACAAAAGTTTTATGAAGTTAACTGCATGTGAATATTATTGATATATTCTAATCTTTTATTCTCTTTCATGATAAGAAATGCTGCTTGCAACTAAACTGATTTCATATCTCTCTATAGGTTCTCAATTGAAATAATTCTGTACCAACTTAAAACATATGCAGTAAAGTGCTTTTCTTCATTATAGAACTTATATGTACTTTATAGAAAAGGAGAATGAAGGGGAAAACATCCCATACTTTTGATCACTGAAAGACAACTACAGTTAACAATGTAGTGTATTTCCTTTCTATATTTTTTCTGATGGTATTTATATTGTTATACTTTTAACCATGATGCTTATATAAATTTGAATCCTAATTTTTTTAGTTTAGGATTTTTTACATTTATGTACACACAATGTAAATAATTACAAATTTTTTTTACAAATTTTGTTTAGAAAAACAGTAAGATCCCCTGCAATTTACTTTTCTCCAGAGCAGCTACCTTAAATTATTTTAGATGATTCTTTATACATTTGCTTCCATATCTCTAAATAATAATGTGCTTATCATTGCTACATCTTGATTTTCCAATTTTAGTCATTATATAATGACTTTCCATAATGACAAATGAAGATTTAACTTTTCTTTCACCTTTGCTCTAATTCTTCCCCCTTCTCATACCATCCTCACCGTATAGTTATTTCATAATCTTGATTTTATAAGTAATTTATGACTGCATAAATGCTATTCACAGCTGAACCTTTGGAGTATGCTATGATTATTTTTTCTTACCTATACAATACCCCCACCCATTTGTCTTTTTTCCCCTATTGATGACTTAATGTATTCATTACTAACTCATCCTCATACTTTTCCCAGATATACAGACCTCTTATTACTAATTTAAAAACAGTTGGTAATCTGTTAATCTCATCCTATTGAGGAACTTTTTACCAGAGTGTACTAAGCCACTTCCATTTGGTCTGGTTGATCTCTGGGTTTGCTGCACCAGTATCATCGTTGTATCCCCCTTCACAGTTCTAGGATCCTTTTCCTCTCTTGTGTAGGATCCCCTGTATCCCATACTTTACTCTTTCTTGGAGAAATCTTTAAGTAGCTTCCTGACAAAGGATGCATGGAAGATAAATTAGTTTGGACACTGCATGTCTGAAAATACCTTTTACCTTCACATTTTGCATGGCCAGCAAATTCCATTGGGTAATCTTTTCCCCTAATTTTGAAGGCTTAGCTTCTTTATTCTAGTTTTCATTGTATATGGGCTCCTAAAGCAAACCCTGATTTTTATTGTAGATATTGAAAACTCTAATGTAATTCTTAGTCCTTTGTATGGAAAAAAAATTTTTTTTCCTTTCTTAAAGCTTATAGAATTCTTTCCATTTCCTCTAGTGCAGCGGTTCTCAACCTGTGGGTCGCGACCCCTTTGGGGAAAACACAGACCATCGGAAAACACATATATAATTAAATATTGTTTTTGTGATTAATCACTATGCTTTAATTATGTTCAATTTGTAACAATGAAAATACATCCTGCATATCAGATATTTACATTACGGTTCATAACAGTAGCAAAATTACAGTTATGAAGTAGCAACGAAAATAATTTTATGGTTGGGGGTCACCACAACATGAGGAACTGTATTAAAGGGTCACGGCATTAGAAAAGTTGAGAACCACTGCTCTAGTGTTACATTATTTCACCATGATGTGTCTTGGTGCAGCCCTTAATGAGCTCTTTGCAAACCCATATTTTTTGTAGTTCTGGGAAGATTGATTCTGAAAAGCTTTTCATGATTTATTTTCCTCTAATTTCTTTCTGAGAGAGAAACATTGATTGGTTGCCTCTAGTAGGAGGCACAATGTTTATCTCAGCTTTGGTGTATAACAATTAGTGAAGGGCCAAACCTTGCCTGCTACATTAGGAGCTCAGCCTTTAGAAGACGGATGGGAGGGGCAGGAGATTTAGTCCTCGAGGTAACTAGAGTAACAGAAAAGATCAGCCGAAGAGAAACGAAAGTCAATCATTGTTTTGCTAAGTGCTTTTTGTATGAAGATCAGAATAGGAGTAATGACAAAACTTATTCACTATTAGCCCTGGAGAATTATGGGATACCAGTTGTTATATTTTTATGGTAACTGTGCTTTTAATTGGAAACCTAGAAAAATGCTTCTTTTTCCATTATAGAAGATAAATGTCAACATGGAGAACGATTTTAAGATTGACTCATCATCTACCTTTGCTCTTCAAAGTTCTTCAGAGACATTGTTTTCCATTCAGCTGTTAGATTTCAGAACTAGTTTACTGGAAGCATTAGAAGAATTACGTATGCGAAGGGTAAGTACCTTTTTAAAGTGCTATTTTAATAGAGAACTGGATTTGTCCAGTTTAATTTTTGGTTTAAGAAAAAAAGACCTAACAAAATAACCTCTTATTTAGAAAGAAGAAATACAGTCCAAATAATGAAGCAAAAGAGAAAAGGATAAATTTAGTTGACATCAGGGAATGGGAAATAAGAATTTATAAACCAAAGCAAAAAATATAGTAGATTTTCAGTTTGTTACATACTTGATAAATCAGCTAATATTTGTTGAGTACCTTGGAATGCATAGATAGCACTATAGTTAGACACTATGGATGATTTAAAAAACTATTCTTTAGGAGATTACATTTTTGTTAAGGTTATGAGTTAGGTACCTATGAAATGATTAAATGATGAAACAAGATAACACATAATTGACATTGACAAAATAAATGTATATAGTAAGTATTCTGAGTTCAAAGAATAAAATATTCTTAGTTTTAAAGTGATAACCCTGAAATTTTTAGGAAAGAGACATCTAGTATAAAAATTTTAGCAGGAGATCGCTATTGTTCAAAGCTGTTCAGTGTTTCTTGGGACTCCTTTTGTAGGAAAATTTTTAGCTGTGATCTTTTTGAGTGTTGCCTTCCCTTATTTCTTTTCTTCTATTACCTTGTTCTGGAACTCCCCTTAGGTAGCATATTGAATCATACCATTCTATCTTTTTTTTTAAAATATAATTTATTGATTTTTTATAGAGAGGAAGAGAGAGGGAGAGAGAGTTAGAAACATCGATAAGAGAGAAACATCCATCAGCTGCCTCCTGCACACCTCCCACTGGGGATGTGCCTGCAACCAAGGTACATGCCCTTGACCGGAATTGAACCCGGGACCCTTCAGTCCGCAGGCCGACGCTCTATCCACTGAGCCAAACCGGTCATGGCCCATTCTATCTTTTATGACTCTTAACTCTTTTATAGTTTTTATATTTTTTCATTTATTGCATGTGTAATTCATTTTGTTGTTTCCTAATTGTCTTTTCAAATGATTTTTTTCCTGCTATCTAACCTTGATGAGTTTTTATTTTCCAGGATTACATTTTTCATTTCTAGAGGTTTCTTCAAAGGATCTGCTATGGTCTGAATGTTTGTGTCCCCCCAATATACATTTGTTGAAACCTAATTTCCAGTATGATGGAATTAAGAGGTGGTGCTTTGGTAGGTAATTAGGTCATGAGGCCCAACAGAGCTCTAGCCCTTTTTGCTGCATGCAGTTATGAACAGGGAAGCTGTTCTCACCAGACACAGAACCTGACCATATAGGCACCCTGATTTCATACTTCCAGTCTCCAGAACCATGAGAAATAAGTTTCTGTTGTTTATAAGTCACCTAGAATTTGGCAGAATGATTCTAAAGTTATATATATAAGAAAATATATTAATATATACACATTATACACCTTAACTAATACAATGTTATATGTCACATGTCATTAGCTAGAAAAAAATGCATGAGTATAGATAGAAAATAAAAAAAAGAATTGCTACTTGCTCTATCAGATATTAAAGGCTTCTCCAATCTATAATAATAAAAGCGTAATATGCAGATTGGCTAAATGGCCAAACAGCAAAATGACCTTCAAGACGACCACGCTATGACATGTACTGTCGCCAGGCCAGCTAAAGCGTGTGGGATGCGATTGGTCGGGGGGCCCCACCATCACCCCATGATCATCCTGCAGAGGGAGGCCCAGGCCACTGGCCAGCGGGGCAGTCAATCGGGGGGCTCTGCAATCACCCAAAGAGGGAGGCCCAGGCTACTGGGCAGCGCTGCAGTGGGTGGGTGGGGCCTCCCGTGGGGCCTCCCTCTGCTGGGTGAATGATTGCAGGATTCCTGGACTGGGAGAGGGCGCAGGCCAGGCTGAGGGACACCTCCCCTCCCACCCCCCAGTGCACAAATTTCCTGCACCGGGCCTCTAGTACTGTAATAATTAAAAATGTGATATTGTTGCAGGAACAAATAGATCAGTAAAAGAATAAATCCAGTGGGGAAAGGAAGGAAGTCAATACATGGCACTTGGACAATTCATACATACTTTACATCTACACTAATAAAAGAGAAACATCCACAAACCATGTCCACCAGCCAATCAGGAGCGAGTATGCAAATTAACCCCACCAAGATGGCGGTGGCCATGGAGCTGGAGCGAGCAGGAGGCTTGGGTTGCCCCCGGCGATGGAGGAAGCCAAGCTTCCCGCCCGCCCTGGCCTCTGCTCAAGGCTACAAAGTTTCAGTTTTAGAAGGTAAATAAATCCCAGATACCTGCTTCCCTCCACTCAAGGAGGCGCTGAAAAAAAAAAGAAAAAAAGGAGGGGCTGGGAACTTAGGTCGCTGGGGGCCGTGGCCAGCCTGCAAACAGCCATCAGCCCCTCACCCAGGCTGGCCAGGCACCCCAGCGGGGACCCCCACCCTGAAGGGGGTGTGGCCAGCTTGAAAACAGCCCTCAGCCTCTCACCCAGGATGGCCACACCCCACCAGTAGGGACCCTCACCCCATGGGGGCATGGCTGGCCTGCAAACCACCACAGGCCCCTCACCAACGCCACCCCACGCCCCAAGGGAACCCCCACCCTGCTCCAGGACACCCTTCAGGGCAAACCAGCCAGCCCCAACCCATGCCCAGGCCTCTATACTAATAAAAAGGTAATATGAAAATTAGACTGGGATTACTTCCAGGAGACCTTCCGGACGTTCTTCTGGACAAAGCCATGGTGGCGGGGCCGAGGTGGAGGCAGTTAGAGGCCAAGAGGGGAGGGCAGTTGTGGGTGATCAGGCTGGTGGGGGGTGGGGCCGTTGGGGGTAAGCAGACCAGGGGGGGGCAGTTGGGGGCAAGCAGGCAACCAGTGGG